GCCCATCAGCTGATAGGCGGGGAGAGGAGGGGGCAGGAGGGGGGGAGCACAAAATAGCTGCCAGGCTCCCTTCTGGGTGTCGGCTTTTAGCTGTTTCCTGCTCTTTTTCCTGCTCTTTGGGGGCTACCAAGGCCTGGTAAGTGACTTTCTTTTATTTATTTTTAAGTTTCTGACCCTTTTTTCCCCTCCAGAAGCCTCTAAGGGGAGGGAGGGGGCACTTTTTTTTCCTGTACGTAACTCGAGGGAAGTTCGTATGTCGAGTCCTTATTTCCCCTATAGGGTGGGTTCGTAAGTTGAATTGTTCGCAAGTAAGGTCGTTCGTAAGTCGAGACCCCACTGTATAGGATTTTTAAAATTGAGAGAGTTTTCAAAATTGTGAAAGAAGCATTAACCTAGTTAGTACAGGACAGTGATAGTCTATGTTTTGGGGTTTTGTGCTGTTCTCTAGCAGTTTTGATACATACACCGTCTGCTATGGTGTAAATGACCTATAACCACATTTTCTCGAGCATGGAGCAACGTATAATATATTTTTGAAGACTGGGTTGTATTTGACCTCTTTTCTCTCCCCCCCAAGCAACAAAATATTCTGTCACCCCATCAGATAGGGTTTTTTCGAGAAGTAGATTCCATGTACACCTTAACTAAACACTTAGACACATGGCAGTGCTTTGTGAACCACCTGAGTATAGAGATAGCAATGCCTGCTAGATGCCTGTTTTCTCTTCTGCACTTTGCATTGTTCAGCCTTTGCAGTACTCATGGGATTAGGTGGTGCTGATCTTGAATTCATTGCTAAACAGTCTCCCACCTGTTTCCCTTTCAAATATTTTTGTTTTTCACTTTGTTCCAAAAGCGCTAAAAGTTTTTGTTTGACATTTTTACTTCTGAACTTCTGCAAGATGGCATACATACAAGATGGGCAGGATATAACTCAAATAAATAAATAAGTCAGATGCAATCTGATGGCATATAACAAACGATTTCACAGAAGGTAAGTGGTTTAAGTATCTGGCTATAGAGCCAGCGGCTCAGAGTTCAATTCCCCACTGAGCCTTCTGAGAGAAGAGCCAACCTGTGTTCTCGCGGGCAAGGTGTTTGGTGGTCTCAGAGCACCCTCAGAAGAAGGGAAGGATAAAGCACTTCTTAGCCCCAACGGCTAAAGAGTTACCATAAGTCAAAATGAATTTGACAGCACACTAGTATTATTATTAGTGATGGCAAAGTTTGGAAGAGAAAGTTCTGTTTCTTTTGCTATTGACTGAATGGTATTCAGAACATATGATATAAAAACCATAGGATGATAGAGTTGGCAGGGGCCTATAAAGCCAATACTTTGGCCATCTCATGAGAAGAGAAGATCCCCCTGGAAAAGACCCTGATGTTGGGAAAGTGTGAGGGCAAGAGGAGAAGGGGACGACAGAGGACAAGATGACTGGGCAGGGTCATCCAAGCTACCAACGTGCATTTGACCCAACTCCAGGAGGCAGTGGAAGACAGGAGGGCCTGGCGTGCTCTGGTCCATGGGGTCACGAAGAGTGGGACATGACTTTTAACAACTAAACAACAAAACAAAGCCATTGAGCCCAACACTGTGCTCAATTCAGAAATCCAAATGGGAACTGGAAGAATGAAAAAAAATGAGGTAAGATGAGTTTGTTCCTGACAAATCTGTGTTGGCTTCTAGTTATTACATTGTTTCTGAGGTGCTTGCGTGATGACCACATTAAAACCTGCTCCCGAATTTTTCCTGGGTTTGATGTCTGCCTGATTCGTTTAGTTCCCCGTTTTTGAGGATAGGAACAATGTTAGCCCTCCTCAAGTCGTCTGGCACTTTACCCTTTCACCATGATTTCAAGAAAATAAGACAATGGTTGTGATCACGGAACAAAGGAAAGGGTAATTGCCTTGGAGAGAGAGAACAAAGGACTCGACAGCGGATGGATGTCCGAACCAGAACCAGCGGAGCCTCCTGGCAACACCTCGAGGGCTCTTTTTATTGACTTAGCATGATGACACAGTATGTTGTGAGAGAGACAGATAAGATACTAGTTACCTAATTGTAACCAGGATTGGCTAAAATGACCCTTTGATCTTACGCTCTACCTCTAAGCGAAAGGGCAGAAGGGGCGGTTATCCCACCTGCTGGCAGCTGCCACTTCCTGCCAGAAGTGTATGCACATCTTACCCTTTGTCCATACCCGGACATGCTAATAATAGGTGACTGAAATGCAACAGTAGGAAACAGAAGAAAACCAAACCTTGGAGAGTTTGGCCTAGGAGAGAGACATGAAACAGAATAAATGATGCACAGAATTCTGTGAAGGCAACAACCTGTTAATTGCAAATACGTGCTTCAGGTTACTAAACAGATGACTGTGCACCTGGACATCACCGGATGACTAATACAGAAATCAAATGGACTACAGAACTGGAAGCAGGAGATGGAAAAGCTGTATTTTCTCTGCCAGAATAAGACCAGGAGCATATTGTGGTCCTGATCACGAATGGATAATATCAAAATTTACAAAAAGCTGAAAAAAGAAAACTGGTTGGGGGAGGACGGGGTCCGTGTGCAGGGAAGGCAGGGCACCCCCTCATGCTTGCTCGCATGCGCAAAGGGGCAGGGGGCACTCGTGCACAGGCACACATGTATGAAGGGGCAGGGGGCACTCGTGCACATGCGCAAAGGGGCAGGGGGCACTTGCACACACGCGTGAAGCAGCTGTGCAGGGGGAGTGCATGCGGGAGGGGGACATGTCTTCTTAGGCCAGGCCATGGACTGGGGGTTGGGGACCCCTGATTTAGACAAAGTTTCTAATGAATTTAAAGTACACACAAAGAATAAATTTGCATTACTGTGAACCAGAGGAACTTTGGATGGAAATCAAAGACAATTTTCAGGTGGAAGTGCAAAGAACAATTCTGTTAGTGAAAACAAAAGCAAAGCTCTTTTGGTGGCCATCCCTTTACCTGCTCCAGTTCTGCAGCATCGTTGCTCAGGTGCAGCTTCTCAGGCCTTCCCTCCAGCTAATATCTGATCTTCCTTTTTATTTTTCCTTTATTTATTTCTTATTCTGTCCTTGTATTGCATCTGTTATTATATGATTTATGTAATATTTGTGTTATTTTCCTGTTTTATGTTATATTGGAAGCCGCCTAGAGTGGTCTTAAAAACCAGATGGGTGGGGTACATATCAAAATCAAAATACTCTTCATTTGCTGTTTCTGGTATGTCGTCAAAGTTTAGTTTTTACAAAGAATTGTTCTGATGACAGACAGGCCTCTGCAAGGGTTTGGCAACAGTAGATTACAGAGAAATATTCAATTTTACAGGAAAAGAATTAGAATTCTTATATCTTACCAAGATGTTTTTTTAATTAAAAGTACATTTTAATGTTCTGAAAGAGCTTTCTGTAAAATGAATATATTGAGATGGGGGGAAAATACAGTAATTTGTCCTAGGAACTCTGAGGAATATAAATGCTTTGGCAGAATCTAATGTTGTGTGGGTAGGTTTGTCTCTTCTCTGTGCCCCAACGCACTCAGGAAACTCCCTATTTCAAAGATGGCAAGCCTTTTGCTCTAGATGTTATGGACATCAACTCCCAGAATCCCTAGCCTGTATTGTCAATGTGAAAGAACTGTGGGAGTTGCCGTCAAAAAATACAGAGTGCCAGAGGTTCAGAACCCCTCCCCTAAGCCCTAGGAACTAGATTTTGAGGATGTACAGAAGGAAGGAAAATTGACCTTTTTACTTTTCAAAACAGTTCTGTTTTGGAGGACTTAAATTAGAGGTGGCTATTCCAATTTCACTCCATCTTTTCTGTGTATCTTCACATCATCAGTTAGGATAAGCAAGTACAAACAGACTTCTAAACTGACAAAACATGCCAGATTTCTGCCTTTCAACTTTTGCAGTTCTTGTTTCTTTTCTCTGACTTTTGTAATGTAGTTCATCTCTCACTGTGTTACTTTCTGCAGCCTTACCAAATAAACAAACAAAACAGGATGTAATTATGTCAGAGGCAGTAGTGTAAAGTGACTTTTGCTGTGAGGAACTATAAAATAAAAATATTTCCAATCCCATTAGGAAACATGTTAATTATAATAATAGGCAACAATGCTATCATTTCAGAGCAAAAGTGCAAAGTTGATATGTTGAAGCATAGGAGATTGCAAGTGAAATTCTCATTTTGTTTGTTAAATGGAAATGGAAAACTGCATTTTGTTATCTGGAAATGTTTAAATGGATTTTATAAAGGTCATGCAATTTTTTCATATTTACATTTTAATACAAGCGTATTGAAGCCAAGTCCACAGTTGTAATCTCTAAAAATGAACTTGTAACCATGTATCAGTTGCAGAACTGACCACAGTTTTTCTATTAAAAGACAAAGTGACATAGGGTTGAGGATCTGCTAGTACCCTGAACAGAAACTCTTCCACTCAGGAAGTGAGAATTGTAATACTGTATTTCATTTTGAAGTACTACTTGAATATAATATTATTAAACTCATATTTTGACCAGGGACTTTGTATTGCAAATTCCAGGCCATTGCTTGATGAGATGCCTTGTGGTATTGTGCAGTAAAGAGCTCATATAGATGACCTTGCACAATCTGACATATTCATATCCTGTGACTTTTATGCCTCTGAAATGATTTCTAAAATACTGTGTATTTAACAACAACTGTTGGCAAAGAACTTTCAGATGTTACAAATTGCAGAATATCTTCAAGTATTTGACCCAACTTGGCTTTTAGTACTCATGAAAAGGATCTAGGCCCGGTGGTAGTCGGCAAGCTAAACCTGAGTCAACAGAGTAATACAGTAGCAACCAAAATTTTAAATGTGGTACTTAATTATATCAGCAAACGTATAGTGTCCAGATTTAGAGATGGGGGCTTCGTATTCATATCTCTAGTTCAGATCAAGAAAGATAATAACACGTCTCCACTTTGCTTTAGTCAGACCTCACTTGCCATATGTATCAAGTTCTGGGCACTGCAGTTTAAGAATATCAACAAGCTTTGTGAAGAACAGTTGATGGAGGTGGACATATTTACCATCTAGAAAAGAAGGCTAAGAAGTAATGTGATAAGCCACATTTGCAGTTGAGGAGCTATCACACAGAAGATGAAGCAAGCTTGTCTTTTATAGCTGCAGAGGAGAGTGGCCTGAAGTAATGGGCTCAGATTATGGGAGAGGAGATTTTACCTAACATTAAGAAGAACTTTTTGTCAGTAAGAACTGTTCTACAGCTAAATGGACTGTTTAAAGGATGATATGTTTCCTTTATTGGAGGTTAAACAGAGGTTAGATAGCTACCTTCCAACTTTGTATTTGCTATTTTGGCAGAGGCTGGGCTTGGTAGCTCTTGGAGTATCTTCCATCGTTGTTCTGTGATTCCCCCCCCCCCCC